ATAGGCAGATGATAAGTCATTTGTCATGCACCTACCTGACCTCATTTCAATCCCCAGTACCCCAAATAGTCCCCTGAGCACTGCTGGGTGTGGACCCCAAAACAAAATAAAGTAAACATAATTGTAAACAACAGTTTGAGGAGGTAGTTTAGTGCAAAGTCCATGATTTGTATGTAGAACTGGGTTCCAATGCCAGCATCACACACACACACACACACACACACACACACACACACACACACACACCAAATATCCAAATATCATAGCGAACACTGATTAAATTGAATCCAATCCAGTCACAGGCCCCTCGGGGAGGAGATTGAAAACTCAGGTTTATATCACTTGGAATCAGAGGTCATGGATCCATGCCTGGTAACCAGAGCAGTGCCCAGCTAAATGACATTGGATGCTCACAGAATCCTACCTAATCATCTGGTAAAAATATAACCATTTCATCTCAGTTCCTGGGGCTGGGAATTTCCACCAGGGTTCACCCAAGCCACCTGCAATGAGACAATGGTATAAGCCCGATTCAGGGCTCTTAAGCCCAGAAAGATCAGCATCGAAAAAATAAACAAAAGCACCAAAAGTGGGGCTGGAGCAATAGCACAGCGGGTAGGGTGTTTGCCTTGCACGCGGCCAACCCGGGTTCGATTTCCAGCATCCCATATGGTCCCCTGAGCACCACCAGGGGTAATTCCTGAGCGCAGAGCCAGGAGTAACCCCTGTGCATTTCTGGGTGTGACCCAAAAAGCAAAAAAAAAAAAAAAAGCACCAAAGGTAAGGAAATGAAGCCCATTTATGCATGTGTGTTGGGTCAGGTTCTGTGAATTAGTTTCTCTCCCGGACATGATCTAGTCATTGACTAGTTTGAAAATTTCAGGTAAGGGGCTGGAGAGATAGTAGAGCATGAAGGGCACTTCACTTGCCTTGCAACTGGTCGACCGGGTTCAATTCCTAACAATCCATACGGTTCCCTGAGCACCACCAGCAGTAATTCCTGAGTACCAAGTCAGAAGTAACCCCTGAGCACTTCCAGGTATGACCCCAAAACCAAAAAAAAAAAATTTTTAAAAGAAAATTTCCACTGAACATTGAAGACCTTCTGGCAATGTCTACAAACAGTATTAGAGGCTAATGTTCACTTCGTTTCAAGTTAGTGTGTTAGCTCAGTAAATGTCTTTTGTAATCCTTGAAAAGATTCTGAGAGAGATTTAAAAGTTCTGTAAGAAAATCAAATCTGTTGCCTTTGTAAATGTAGTTTAGAATGAATTAGACTAATATAAAAATGGCATGAGCTACGCGTCATTTAACATTTTTCCCTTTCACTTTAAAAAAAAAAACTCAAAAAGAAAAAAGTAAAGGAAATTGCAACAATTCAATTCAATTCAACCCGACATATCTAAAATGCGACTCGGATAAAATTTACTAACAAGATATGTTAAGTCCTTTTTTTGTTTTAAACATTTGAATTGTAGGGCTGGAGCAATAGCACAGAGGGTAGGGCATTTGCCTTGCACGCGGCCGACCTGGGTTCGATTCCCAGCATCCCATATGGTCCCCTGAGCACCGCCAGGAGTAATTCCTGAGTGCATGAGTCAGGAGTAACCCCTGAACATTGCCGGGTGTGACCAAAAAAAGCATTAAAATAAAATAACCATTTGAGTTGTGCCAGGTATTTTACATTTCCAACATGTCTCAAACTAGAGTCCTTGAAACGCGTTCCCCTAGTCCCCACCATATTGTACGGCATAGATCTGAGGGAATGTAATTAGCTACATTTGTAAGAGGTATGTATTATTTAAAGCTGCTTACTCTGTCCAACAGGATGGGCTGAAATATTCATCAAAGATCCCTTGTGAGTTAGTATTAATAACGATTGGCCTTACGAATAGAATGTGATGCATACCATGACCTTCCAAGGGAAAACAACAGCTTCTTAAAAACCAGCTCCTTTAAGAGACTCTCAGGAACAAGCCCTGGGGGCTTAGCTCGGGCCACACCACATCCCTCATGTGCTTAAGGACCCAAGTCTGATCTCCGGCACCACGTGGACCCCAAGCATAGCAGTGCCGGAGAACTGAGTCCATCCAGCCTGGCGGGCTGAGCATCTGCACCGGTGACCCCTGGGCCCCCTGAGCCTGACCCCAAAATGAAAGCGACCCTGAGACCCTCCCCATCCCTGTGCAGAGGGATGGGGCCATCGGTGGGCATAGGTGGCAGAGAAAAACAACGGCCACTCGGGTCCTTCCTAGCATACAGGTCAGCCCCGGACCAGCCCTTTGGAACTAACTGCCCGAAACACCCATTTCACAGACAGGAGAGCAGAGGCCGCAGCCACACACTGGGACCTAGGCCATATCCCCCGTGTCACCCTCCCACACCCACCGGATCCTCATCCCAGCACACCCACCTGCCTCCTGTCCACACAAAGTGCTTCTAGATCCTTCTCCCTACCTTGTCCTCAGGGGCTGATGAGGAAGTCAAGACACAGAGATGGGGAGTGGGGGGAAGGGTCTCGGGGAGCATCTACAGAGCATGGTGAGGGGCTGGAGCAATAGCACAGCAGGTAGGGCATTTGCCTTGCATGTGGCCGACCTGGGTTCGATTCCCAATATCCCATATGGTGCCCTGAGCACTGCCAGAAGTAATTCCTGAGTGCATAGCCAGGAGTAACCCCTGTGCATAGCCAGGTGTGACTCTCCCTCCCCCCCTCAAAAAAAGCAAAAAAAAAAAACCCACAAAGCATGGTAAGTAAAGTTTCCTGAGTTGGGGTACACCGGGGCAGGCACCAGCACAGGCCAAGACCCCATAGACGCAGCTCAGCACCCAGCCGAGGCCCCACAGACGCGGCTCAGAGCCCAGGCCAGTGGGCAGGGGAAAAGTTATGTGAGACCCAGGGCAGAGATGAAGTAGAATCTATGAAGAGGTCGGTCCAGCACCAAAGGACCAGAGCAAGGCCAGCCAGGACCAGGGAGACCCAGAGCTGCCTTCCCCCTCACCCTGGGACCACCCCCCGGAACCCCAGGTCTCCAGCTCTTGGGGTACAGACCCGAGAGCATCCTGCTGGGCCTCAGACGCCCACTCTCCTGCCTCTCGGCTGTGGTCATTCTTTTTTTTTTTTTCTTTTTGGGTCACACCTGGCAATGCACAGGGGTTATTCCTGGCTCTGCACTCAGGAATTACTCCTGGCGGTGCTCGGGGGACCATATGGGTTGCTGGGAATCGAACTCAGGTCGGCCGCGTGCAAGGCAAATACCCTACCCGCTGTGCTATTGCTCCAGCCCCGCTGTGGTCATTTTTTCTTCTGCTTTTCTCCCGGGAGGCCCTGACCGCCATCCCCACGCTGGGCAACGAGTGGCCTGCAGGCCCCGCTGGGTGGCAGCCAGCTGGTTGCGGCCTGCCTGGTGGCACAGGGACGGGCGCCCCAGGTCAGCTCTCTCTGGCCTCCCGAAGAGGCTCTGGCCCCCCAGGTCCCAGTTTCCCTGCCGGCCGCACCCTACAGGCCGGACCTGACTCCCCACCGCAGGGTGGACACTACATCTGGCCCACTGGGAGGTTCTGAGCACAGCGTTTAGCACACTCAGCCCAGAAACTGTTCCCTACAGCAGGTGCCCACTGGCTCCCGGAAGTCAAGAAGAAATTCCCAGGGGAGCCAGGCCAGCCTGCTGGGCCCTGCTCTCCCCGAATGCAGAGCGGACACCTGTGGGTCTGGCCGGGCACCCACCAGCTCCCTGCGGGCATAGACAAGATGGGGCTCGCTCTGAGCATTCCCACACGCCCCACTCGTTTCTTTGTGTTCAGGGGCCAGACCGGTGGTGCTCAGGGATCACTCCCAGGAGTGCTCTGGGGACGTCTGATGCCTGGGATGGAATCTGAGTTGGCCGTGAGCGAGGAAAATGCCCTTCCCGTTGGACGACCCTCCCGCTCCTTCTCTCACCCACGGCAAAGGTGTCAGTGTCCATCCCAATGGCGGACAGTTTCTTCAGTGACAGCCAAGGAGGTGGCAGACACCAGGACCAAACAAGCCCCAGGGGGCAGAGGGGAGAAGGTCTGGGAGGGGCTCGGGGCCCACTTTCACTTTCCTCAGCGCTGCCCAGGCCCCAGTTGCCCACTCCAGGGGCCAGCAGACCCTTCCCCTGAGCAGGGGCAGGGACAAAGATGGGCTGGGTGGGGGGACTTTCTGAGGAGTTTCTGAGAGTAACTGGAGTCACTGAGAGTCATTGGAGGAGAAGAGATCTCAGTCCACTCCTCCCAACCCCTGTAAAGTTGGGAGGCCCAGAACCAGGGTCCCTCGACTCAGGCAGAGAGAAGCAGTGACCCCCAAACGCAACAGTCTCTCAAGACTCACCCACACAGCCACTTCTCCTGGGGGCCTTCCTGGGCCTCCCTCCCATCACAACTAAAGTCCTCCAGAACCAGGCCAGAGCCAGGGCCGTTCTGCTTCCCCACCAGCCGTTGGCCCCGGGAACCTGCACCCTGCTCTCCGCAGAGGCTCCTGGGTGCAGCCCCAGGCGAAAGGGCACTTGGCACCCCGGTAAAGCCCAGGTGGGCTGGGAGTGGCCCTCAAGAGCCTCGCTGACCCCATCTCCAATCCACATGACCCCAAATGACCGTGCCTGGGCCTCCGGAGACTTCCTGGGGCCCTGGCCCATGGCAGCCCTATTTAGGGGCGGGGGGCCTGAGCCGAGGGAGCTCAGGGCCTCGGCTTTGGAACTAGGGTACAATCTGGGAGCAGGTCCTCCAGAGAATTAGCCAGGGGGTCCCAAGCCTGAGGCCCGTGGGCCTGGCGTCCAGGAAGGACTCGGACATGCTGCTCATGTAAGCTGCACCATGCGTCCTCTCAGCATGACCAGGCCCACCCGCACCTCTTCACGGGGTTCTTACATCCCCTCCGAGCCCCACCTGCCATTGGCACAGTTGGCAGGCTCCCTTCGTGGCTAGAAGGCTCTAGAATACCAGAAAGGGGCCCCGGGGGGCCGAGGAGGCCGCGGTGCTACCTGAGAGGGCTGCCGCCAGCAATCCGGCCATCACGGAGACGAACCACATGTCCAGGGCCATCTGGGCACCTACGCAAGCCCGCTGGTGGGCGCTGCCATGCCGGGACACGCGCGGCTCTGCCCGGGGCCGCCCCTGGGCTTCGGGGGTGCGGGCACGGGAGGCGGCTCCGTCTGCACACGAGCCTCTGGTGCCTCGGCTCTGCTGTGGTCGGTCGCCAGGAAGCCAGGGTGCGCCGCTGTGTCACCAGCTGCAGGGCCCGCCCTGCGGCCCGCTGAGCGGAGACTCCCACACAGACACACATTCACACGTGTGTGCACACATGCCCTCCCACGTCACATCACACTCACACGCAGGCACACATCACACGCACACACGGGCACAACCACATGCACACATCATATACACGCACACATCACGCACAGGCACACGCACACGTGTGTGCACCCATGCTCTCCCACGTCACACTCACACACAGGCACAATCACACGCACACATCATGCACATTGCACACATCACACACATGCACATGTGTGTGCACACATGCCCTCCCACGTCACACTCAGCACAGTACATGTCACACTCACACACAGGCACAATCACACGCACACATCATGCACATTGCACACATCACACACATGCACATGTGTGTGCACACATGCTCTCCCATGTCACACTCACGCACAGTACATGTCACACTCACATATGAGCACAATCACACACATCATACACACGCACACATCACACACATGCACACGTGTGTGCACTCATGCCCTCCCACATCACTCTCAACACAGGCACACATCACATATATGCACACATGTGTGCACACATGCCCTCCAATGTCATTCACACAGGCACACGACACAATCACACGTACACATTATGTACACATCATACACACATATCACACATGCACACATCACAGTTAGGCACACATGTACACATATGTGCATATGTGCACTCCTGTGCACACATCATGCTCACACAACCATGCATATACACACGTGTAGACACAACACACTCTTACATTCCCACATACATACATACAAGCACATATCACATGCTCACACACATGCATGCACATGCACACACATACGCTCAGCCTCACACCAGTGTGCAGACACATACCACACACATGCAGACACACATGACCATACATACACACACACACACACACACACACGTCCACACACAGGCCACCTGATGATCAGGCCTGGGGGGAGGGGACCTTGCCTGTCATCTCTGCTGGCCCACAGGAAGAGCAGGCACAAAGGACGGGCTCAGGCACCACAGGAGGGGTCCACGGTGGGCCCTCAAGGTCAGGTGGGCTGGGCGGAGTGGACTCAGGCTTGCACTGTTTTGTTTGCAGGGAATGGGCTGCAGATTTGGGGTCACACCCAGCGGTGCTCAGGGCTTACTCCTGGCTCTGTGCTCGGGCATCACTCCTGGCTCAGGGTACGAGGTGAGGTCCTGGGAATGGAGCCTGGGCTGGCCACTTGCAAGGCAAGCGCCTTAACCCTCACTGCCCTGTGTCTCAGCCAGGCCTGCACTTTGTCACCTGAGAGGCTCCGCACCCACCTCAGATTCGAAGATGAGGAAGATGGTTTGTTCCAGCCTCCTTCCACAGACCCAAACCAGGAAATGGCATGGAAGGTTCCAGTCCCGTGGACTACAGGACATGGACTTCATTGCCCTGAGAAGCTTGGGAGAGGAAGGTGGCCGAGGCAGCAGGCCCAGGAGAACAGCAGGGGACAGGGTCAGGGCATGGAGCAGGAGTCGGGCCAGCAGATGGGACACGGAGGACCCAGGGGGTCCGCGGGGGCGGGGCTGGGAGCTCTGAGAGGTCCATCTGAACTGCTCTGGGCAAGAGGGGCTTCAACCATCTTCCTCCCTGGGGCGCTGCAGTAGACGCCCCATCAACGCTCTGTGTGAACGAGGAACCGGCCCTTCAGTTTCGTCACTTCACAGAACCTGGGTCCCTGAGGCTGAACCCCAAGGAGTCAGGTCCCCTCTAGCACCTCCTGTTCTCCGGGTTCACCTTTTCCTTCCCTCCTCCAGCGGGTCCTCACCTCCCCCACCTGTGGGCTGGGAATGAGGCCTCCTTCCCTGGGTCCCAGTTGCCTGGGTGGGACCTTTCGTGTTCAAGTTCAGACTCACTTGAAGTTCAGACTCACTTGTGGGGGGAGCTGCTAGCACCCCACAAAACCCTGCCCTCGGGTGGGGGTGGACTCTTGCCTCCGGCCGACGCTGCCCTCTGGTGGAAGGTTGCTGGTAGTGCAGGCAGCAGATGGGTGCCTGGGGATTGGACCCCTTAGGAATTCTAGGGCCTGGGAAAGGCTGGACTGGGCCGGCTGGAAGTGGAGGGAAGTCCACCTTTCTGGCCTCTAGAAGGTCCATAGAGCCCGAGAGAGCGTCGTAGGCTGAGTGCATGCTTCGTATGTGGGAGACCTGCGTTCCATCCCTATCACCGTACGGTCTCCAGAACAGCACCTCTGAGAATGACCCCCATAAAGTAAAGGTAAAGGTAAAGGCCCTCCCGTTGATCGTCGATTTGCTCGAGCGGGCCCAGTAACGTCTCCATTGGAGACTTTGTTGTTACTGTGTCTGGCATATCGAATACTCTCGGTAGCTTGCTGGGCTCTCCGAGAGGGGCGGAGGAATCGAACTCGGGTCGGCCATGTTGGCCACTGGTAAGGCGAACGCCCTACCGCTGTGCTATCGCTCCAGCCCATGACCCCCATAATAAAATAATAATAATAATAATAATAATAATAATAATAAACTTGAAATGTTAAGGGATGATAGGAGTTAGAAAAGTCTATGTTACAGAAACACAAAATAGACATCAAACTGAGTAAGTTTAAGACTTAAATATTTAAGAGCTTTATTTAATTTTCTCAAAATAGCAACTGCACTTTATCACTGTTCTCCCGTTGTTCATCGATTTGCTCGAGCAGGCACCAGTAAGTCTCCTTTGTGAGACTGGTTGTTACTATTTTTGGCATATCAAATAGTCCACCAGGAGCTTGCCAGGCTCTGCTGTGCGGGCAGGATACGCTTGGCAGCTTGCTGGGCTCTCTGAGAGGGGCGGAGGAATCAAACCCGGGTCGGCTGCATGCAAGGCAAACGCCCTCTCTGCTGTGCGATTGCTCCAGTCCAACAATTGTGTGAAATAACAAGAACTCATAAACTGTCAATAGAAATATATTTTCTATGGAAAATTGTTATGTATTCCAAACCAAAAAAAAAAAAAATGTTTCAGGTAGAGCTGCTTTTTTTTTTTTTGAAAGCATGTTTGCAAATCCCTTTGGTGGCTGACATACCCCACGATGCTTGGATTCACAGCTGCTTCTCCAGTTTTCTGAGATACGTTTTTTCTCAAAGGATACAGAAAGAAATCTGGCATCTTGAGATGCAGAAGAGAAAAGAAGGAGCAATTTTATAGTCTTTGTAGACAATTGAAGATTTTTCTCTGATATACCCACAAAATCTGACAAGAATAGTTTCTAAAGGTCAGTCAGGAGATAGCATCTGAAATTGTATCAGTGAACTTTAATACACTGTCAAATTAAAATCCACGGGTCTCCTTGCATTTGGAATGAATCTTTTATGCATGCATGATTTCTTAACAGCCGGCACTGATCATTCCGGAATATACTGATTTCCAGAACCACACCAGCCTTCTAAATGTTAGCGTGTATCACTACACGGGATGGAAAAAAAAAATCACATCCATTGATATCATCTCTGATTCCCCCAAAAGCCAGAAGACGAGGAGCTGTGAAGAGCGGGGTGGCAGGGAGGAGGGTTCTAGAATTCAAATTTTCACTGAAAAGCTCCAGTGCCATCAATGACAGCAAAATCCTGTCAGCAGCTGTGTTTAAAGTGACAGGCTCATATGTTCATTTTCAAAAAACGTGTCTGCCAAGTCCTGAAACCTATATCACTGTGGGTGCAAAGCAAGATGGGATGCTGTGGAAAAAACAAACAACCTCCCCAGCTGCTCCCGCAGACAAATCTGACTGGGGCTGCTCCCCCAGCATGGAGTAGCTTCTGGATGCTTTCATTTAGCCACATCTAACACGAAAGGCGAAGCCCCCGGGCCCTTGAACTTAGCAATATTCCTCCTCTGATAACAAACCTCCAGCTGGTCTCCTAGAGCACAGTCTTAAGTAAAGCCAACTTTCTATTTTTTTTTAATTTGTCTGTTTGTCTGGGGGCCACACCCAGAGATGCTCGGGGGTGACTCCCGGCTCTGCATTCAGGAATTATTCCTGGTGGTGCTCAGGGGACCATATGGGATGCTGAGGATTGAACCCAGGTCTGGCCGTGTGCCAGGAAAGTGTCCCACTCCCTGTACTATTGCTCAGTGGTGACTCCTGGCTCTGCACTCAGGAAATACTCCTGGTGGTGCTCAGGGGACCATATGAGATGCTGAGGATTGAACCCAGGTTCGGCTGTGTGCCAGGAAAGTGCCCCAGCCCTGTGCTATTATTGCTCCAGCCCCATGCTATGTTTTCTATTTTCCATTCAGAGTTCATGGGGGCTGGAAATCCAAGGCCACCTGGAGCACAGCTGAAGGTCACTGTTTTGATTCATGTGAAGGCCGGGGACGTTTTCCCATTCATTGTTGCTTGGGTACCAAGTTACGCTCACAAAGTAGAAACGAAAAAAAGAAAAGGTCCTAATATTACTACAAAGCCTCACTCCTTCTTTTCATTTTCTTTCTCCTAAGGGAGACATAGGCAGGTTTAAAAAAAAAAAGAGGCAGTTATAGCAGGGGCTACTCTGGGAGTCTGGGGGGGGTGGGGGAGGGGCGACTGCTTTGGGAAATCCGGGGAGACTTCCTATAAGAGATGATTGTGGGTCATGTACCAGAAAACTCTATTTGTTAGTCGTGGGCTGGCAGTTCTGAGCTGGTGGAGCGGTGTGGTAAGCCCCTGTACGGGCACCCTGTACGACCCTGCCCACCGCACCCCACCCCAGCACGACTGGGCGGCCCTGGTATCACCAGGCCTGGGTGTCACTGCAGTGCCAAGCAGCATCGCATCCTGGGGCCC